ATTTTTTTAGTAAAAATTATATTAAAACCCCAATTTAAATTTATATATAATCTTTGAATCATAAATGTGAATATGAGAATATTGAATTAATTTTAAAAATATATAAATCTTGAATTTAATTTTAGTTTAATATTATATAAATCAGGGTTTAATATATAAAAAATATACCATTCAATTACTCTAATGTAAGGCTTATTCTAGTGTTTAGTTTTCATGTTTTTCATATGGCATGTTCAATTCTCAGCATGGACATATTTTTTTTTCTGGAAATAACTAAGATATATGCAATATTGTGTAAATAAAATACAAACATTGAGCATGGCTTGGTGGTATGATGCACGCAAGTGCTATCCGAATGTTCCAGGTTTGATTCCCCCAACCATTTTGCTTATGCCTCTATTTACTATTTGATTTGGAAGATAAGTATATAAATTAAATAAATTTAAATTCTAGAAAAAAATATTTAATCTAATAGTGACACATGTCACCATTTATTTGGTTGATTGAGTTTATTGAGTTAAATTTAATTTAGAACCAAACTAATAAAATGTAGAGGTATTGAAGACTACATGTATAATAATATCGATTTTATTAACTGATTCGTCAGTAATTCCGTTAGATATTAACGACAAATGACTTGATTGAATACAATTAAACAATTAAATGATCTGATTGATAAAATTAAAAGATTGGTGGTAAAAATAAAAGGGCTAAATAGTTAGGTGGTCAATGATATAGTTTACCCTTAATTTAAAGAGGTATTAATTAATTGATAAATTAATAATTTATTAATTTAAAAATATTTTTCCAATTCAATGAACTAAGTTTATATTAACTAATTGAATGATATTCAAGTACAATGTCACGATGATTAATAACCTTGGATTCCGCAATAAAATGGATGTCAATCACTTATTGGATTACCATGAAAACGTTACATTCCACATGTTAAAAGTTCAGAAGAAATAGTAGTTAGTGTTATTGAAAACCTTATTGAGGATAAAACTGAATATGCTACAATGTCTTTACAATCAAATTACTCGGAAGGGAGTACTATGATAACAACTTTTCATAATTTTTTATTGTAGTATGAGAATGGAACATGTAGACACTCATTTTAATCCGAGTTTTTTTAATATCGTATAGTTTTCGTTTTTTCTTGTTTTTAAAATATATATATAATATATAGTTTTTTAAATATTTTGAATATATATATATAATATATAGTTTTTAAAACATTTTGAAAAATATATAATATATAGTTTTAAAATATTTTTGAATATATGTATATATATATATATTATGGTTTTGAAAATATTTTAAAAACATATATATAATATATAATTTTGAAAAACATATTTATAATATATAGTTTTGAAAATGTTTTTTTTAAAAAACATATAGAATATATAGTTTTAAAAAAATGATTATATATATATATTATTTATTTTATTTTATTTTTTTATTAGTATCTATTATTTATTATTCTTTTTTTTTTCTTTCGTGTTAGGTCCAAATGCAGTCCAACAAAGCCGGTTTGAAAGAAATGAGCCTGATCTAGCCTGATAAAGGTTAGGGTTTGGGAACCCTAAAATAATATCAACAAGGGCACCGCATGCATGAGGACCGTTGGATCTGGCCACCCGACCCAACGGCCACAAGGGCAGTTAGAAGTCACCGAGCGACCAGGCGAAAAATCCGGTCACAAGACAGCGAGTCCCGTCTAAATCGGGACTGACACATCCCGTTTTAGCCGGTTAAATAAGCAACGGACCGAAAAGAACGGAAACAAACCACCGCGGTGGGGTATAAATATCCCACCAAATCGATCAACGAGGGGAACACAGTAAACCAAGAACCATCGAACAACAGTCGAAATACCAACAACAACCAACAGTGGAAAAACAAAACCACAGAACCACGATGAACATACAACAAACCAAAGCAATGCCACACACAAAAATACAAAAACAACCACACGAAATACCGAAGAAAATAAACAAGAGAAGCCCGATCTAGACTCGGGAAGGAAACAGTCGTCGGAAGGTGAAGAGCCGTCGAACCAAGGTAAAATCTGAAACCTTTCGGTTTAGATCTACACCGGTGGGGGTGTTTTTTGGGTGTTTAGGCCTCGATTTTGGGTTTACGGGGAGAATATGATTATTTTGGGTGAGTTTTATTTTCTCGTCCGCCGCGAGCGACGATCGGTACGGCGGGGAGGCCACCGGGCGATGGCCGGCATTCGACCGAGAGAGTAAACATTGAGAGAGTTGGGAGAGGTGAATAAGATGATAATCTGAGAAATGGTGAAAATGAATTGGAAACGGGTGTTTTGGGTATTTATATACTAGGGACCCATGTGCAAATACTAAATTCTTAAATTATTTTCGTAGTCCCTGTACTTTTGAAGTGTAATTCATTTTGGTCACTGTATGCAATTTGGCCTTTGAATTTTTGATTTATTCAATTTAGTCATTGTTTATACTTTTTATATTTTTTTCTCTTGCCGTTCACTTTTAAAATTAATTTCAGTCCATAAATTCCAATCTCATTCAATTTGATCCTTTTTTATTTTTTTATTTTTATTTTATTTCTTATTATTTTATCATTTCTACACAACTTTATTTATTTTTATTTATCTTTTTTTTCATTTATTTTATAATTATTATTTTTTATTTTTTTATTTTTTTTCTATTTTTTCTATTTTTTCCTTTGACTTACTATTTTTTTTTGTTTTTTTCTTTAATTTTTATTTAATTTTTTCCCTTTGACTTTTTTATTTTTATTTATTTTCTCTTTTTTCCCTTTAATTTATTATTTTATTATTTTTATTTTTACCTTCTTTGATTTATTTAACGTTTATTTATTATTTTTTTTCTAACATTTTCGACTTTTTTATAGGAATTCCAGCCAAACAAAGGTAAATAATTTGAATCGGTTTTTAAATTTTAATTTTAATTTTAATCTTTTTCGCAATTAAGATAACCGACAAATTAATTGGTACCGAATGGGCAGTATAAGGGTGCTAATCATTCTTTGACTGTAACCGACTCCCGAACCCGACACGTTTCTGGTAAAACACAGATCATGTAAGATGGTGTCCGATCAACCTAAAATTATTTTTAAATGATCGGTGGCGACTCTAATACTTTCATTTAAGTCGAAGCCGTTCCGGCACAGCACAAGAACTTTTAGATGCATTAAGGAAACTTAGGGATAAATTACAACCATATTGAAATTTTAAAAAGAAACAAACAACAACGAAAAATTATATTTTACTAAGCTATCTTAGTTATATTTATAATTTTATAGAATTATTAATTTATAATATTGAAGGGACCTTAAATTTATATAAGAATTTTTTAAATAAATTTTATCTTATTAATGTATCAAAATTATTAATTTAAACCTTAAAATTAAATCAAAATAAAAAATTTATTATTTGAAATATTATTAATTTATCAGATATTAATTTATAGAAATTCTATGGTAATAAGTTCCTTCTCCATTTCCCCGGGTCCCAAAGAAAATAAAGACATTAATGCACGGTAACTTAAATTACCAAAATATAATTCAAATGGGCTGCTTAGATTCATAAATCTACTGATATTTAACTCAACAGAAAACAAAGATTAGGGAGGTCGGGTTTTGATAAGATGTGGAAGGGTTTACCGTTCAGAGAGCTGATGGCGGACCTAATATCCGATGGCTTCGATTGGACGAGCGGCGAGTTCAGGCTTGTTGGCGTAGAAACGATTGCTATATGTTGAAAACATTTCTGTTAGTAAGCTATCGATACAGCTTTCCGCTACCTCTCTCATTTTCTTTTCTTAAGATGGGTTAAGCTTTCAAGTTTCATCTTCCTCCTTTAAAATGTCTGTCTTTTTCTTTCGGTTAAATTATGAATTTAGTCCCTGTGCTACAGCCAAATTGAGGTTTACTTCACTATTCTTATCTTTTTCTTTTCTCTTTTTATCATTTTATTAGAAATTAAAGTTAAAGTTAAATAAAATATATAAGTGTAAGGATTAAACATGCTATTATCTTAATTAAAAAAATAATATAATATATAATTAAATATGTTATTTAATAAATTTGTTTAACTATCATGATTTTGGTAATAACTAATATTGACTGACGTGATTTAAATCAAAATGAAATTTCTATTTAAAAAGATCATGATGAAAATTTTAATAACTTGATAAATAAATTTTTATCTAATAATTAAAACATAATCAACTCTATAATTCAGTGACTAATTAAATAATTTATCTTCTAATGATCATTAAACAATTTATCTTCTAATAATCCTCGAAAACTATAACTAAGCAACGAACTATTTGAGTTGAGGTGCAGCAATATGAACAGGGATTTTTGAATTGGATGCAGATGTAAGGTTAATAAGGGATATACCAAACGACCTTGATAATTAAAAAAAAAACTCATTATTATCTATAGAGATCTTGATGATAATTTTTTTTTAAAAATCATTATTATCTTGAATTCGACCACCACCATTTTCCTCTAAACCAAACATAAAAATCTTCTCTGCAAATCAAGTACACTTTAATAGTTTAAGTTTTTAACAAGACCCCCACCAGATTCGAACGAAGACCGACAAGCCATGCAATTCGGGTGTTTTTTAAAAATAAATTTAAAATTAAAAAATTCTAAAGATCTCACATCAGATCACTGTGTTAAAACACAGTAAAAATTATTAAATTTAAGGTTAGCATTGATAAACGGTCATACTATTTTTTATTTAATAGGATAATTTGACAATTTTCTTTAACTCGTTTCATGTGAACAAATCAATTCCGAACGAAATTTTGCATTGAAAAGAAAAAGAAATCGTATGTTGATTAGAAATAAAATACTTGGTTTAAAATTCAAAGTTCAAAAAGACCAAAATTCAAACGGTGAATTAACAATTACGTATCAAAGCAACACTTCAAACGTTGAAAAGATGCAGATCTGGCCATGGAAATTCCTGAATCACGGGCGGAAAATTAGGCATTTCAGCAAATAATAGCTTACCATAAAAGTCAAAAAAAATTCCATTCCATTAAGAGATCACTCCTTTTAAGTTTCAAAACAAACACTAAACAACGCTTCTTTTACTTTTATTCACCAAGTTTCTAGTTCACATACAGAGTTTGCTCTCCAATCACCGTATTATTCTGGTCACCACTCACCAGGACCAACATTTCACCCCTGCAAACCGATGATACCTGCAATTAAAACAAAGTTAGAGCGAACGATCGCAAGGGAAAAAGAAGGGCATTTCAGAAAATTATTGACATTTTGTAAATGAATACACTACAATGACGGATGTGAACTAATAAAAGTTGCTCTACATGTGATTCAAGATAACTTACCGCAAGCTACTCTGCCACCAGCATTTCCTGTGCTTTTGCTAAGTTCATGCCCCCCTGCAAATATAATAGCAGTGACATTAAAATGCCTAAATCATTGGATATATAAGTTGGTTCTTATAAGGGAGTAATAAATATATGATTGAACGTGATAAAGCCCCTGATGTAAACTAATCCGTTTAACAGTTCTTCGTGGATACTTGAGCTTAGCTAGAAGCAATACACATACTTGCAGGCATTGCCGGATCAGCTGATCTCCACAGACAAAAGCATGAGCCATAAAAGTGCATTAACATTTCAAAATTGATTTTTCCATCGCAGCCAGGCCGAAAAGACGTTTGGGAGGGGGGTCAATTCAGGAAGACAACCATTTTCATAGACTAGAGTCTAGAGAAGACTCGAGTATAACAACATTAAACAACTTAAGCAGTATCAAAATTTTGAACTATTACCCTTTCCAAGGTCATCAGGATCTGCATGGACGACAACGGCTCTTCCAATAATGGAGTTTGAACCAGTCAGGGGAATCTGCCAAAACATAATACTGCAACGTTAAAAAACGAACACAAGCTTATAATAAAGGAAATTAAATTCAAGAAGGGGAAAAAGGAGTTGAAAGAAAACCTGTTTGTCAACAATTGAGATACTAGCAGAGCCTGGATAACACAGATAAAATTAACAACGTTAATAATACAAGAAACATAAACACCAATTACATACAACTGGAAAATGTTGAGTTGGAACAATGGAAGGAAAACCTAATATAAATATTTTGAATATGTTAGTAATGAACCAGAAAGCTGATGATCATTTGACAGAAGGCAAATATTCATACCATCGGCACCAACAGTTACGTTTCCAAGATCACCAGCATGGCGATTCTCATCTTCAGGAGCACCGTGCTCTTTTCCAGCAGGATTGAAGTGAGGTCCTGCAAGGAGATCAATCACGAAGAATTACATCCAAAGACAACAAATCAATAAAATCAATCTCCTATCATTTCCCCCCATTTCCCTTCCAATTACAAACGAAAAAGAAAAACAAATACTTTCAGACTTTTACCTGTTGACATGCAACCATTTGTTGTGTCACCAAGAGCATGAACATGGAATCCATGGAGGCCAGGCTTCAGACCAGAAATGTTCCCTGTTACAGTCGTTGGACCTAGGAAAGACAGAAAAGGTTATATAACTTTGACAAGAAAGAAATCCAGAGACCAATAAGTCTTATCAGGGTTGTGATTTACCATCTCCCTCTTGAGTGAAGAAAACGGTTCCACCAACACCTTCACTGCTGCTAAGGACAGCAACGGCCTTCACCATTTTATATGTGTTCTATACTACACAACGTTAGATATGAAAAGTAAATAATTTCACCCAATTAAAAGATATCAATAATAAATAGTTAAATACTTTAATGACAATGGCATAAAAGGCTCAAAAAGTACAATTATGATGAGTCATACTACTTGCTCCATCTTTTCTTCCAAATTTTGAACTGACATGACATATCATTATTGGATAAATTCAAATGCAATCAAAACAATAATTCTATGCTATATCAAATAAAAAAAATTGGAGAAAAAATGTGGTGGGACAAATATTAATTTTCAATTTGGATAACTTTATCATTTTACCAAGTCCGTATACTTTTATTGCATCCAAATAAGCTTTAGCCTCGATTTTGCACTAAACTGCCTTTTCACATAAATAATTTTTTTACTTGAAATAAAGCATTTAGGTACAAATAAAAAGATAAGCTCTTATTTGACACAATAAAAGTATAGTGGGAACAATTTGAGAGCTATTTTTAATATTTTAGTCTTTATAAAACCAGAAGTTAGTCCAAGTTTGATTTTCACCATAAACTATCATTTATCCCAGCAAAAACAAACAAAAAAAAGGGATTAGTTTCATCCACTACTTTTTTAATCATATAACAGCAAAAAAAAAAATAAACTCTCTCAAAGATTAGAAAAAAAGCAATTAAGAGAACCAAAAACTTAAAAATTAAGCTACTTTCTTCCTCCCACACTCATATTCTTAGAATCAGGGTTTTAAATAGCGGCCAATAACGGTATCGCAGCCGTTATATCATGGTCGCGGTAGTGTCCGAAACCGCTATCGTGAAAAATAACGGTGTTAAACGAGATCACACCACTAACGGTGAATCGCAGCCGTAATTTAACGAATCACGGCCAATTGCTACAATAGCGGACCGCTATTCCGCTATTATTATGTTATTTTATTTTAAAAAACAGATTTTTTTATTAAAAAAAATCAGCTTCTTCGGAAAAAAATGTACGATCGCGATATCTGAAATGACGTAATAACATCCGTTATATCCGCAACACAACCGAAATCGTGACCGCGATCGTTATTTAAAACCATGCTTCGAATACGAGTGTGCATGCAAGATTTCTTCTATCGTCAACCAAAAAATACGATTCACACAGCTTTGAGTCAAAGCTTATCAAGTTGTCTTACAAAGTGAAAATAAGAATCATAATAATTCAACAAGCAAGTAAAATCTAGGCAAAAAAGAGAGACGAAATCTAGATCGATGTTCCATATAAGCTGAATAACGACAAAACCAAATCTTAAAATATAAATCAGGTCCAAGCTTTAAACCGAAAATTTACGACTTTGAAAATAAGAAGAAGAAGAAGAAGAAGAAGATCAACTTCAATATGCAGTTTGTTTAATATTTTTCTTAATTTCTTCAATCATCAACCGGTAAATAGGATTCATACAAACTTATCACACAACGATGAAAATAATGATAATAAAATATCAATTCAGCAAGCAAGCGAAGTCTAGGCAGAATTCAAAAAAACAAAAATCTAGAACGATCTTACATAACAGCAGAAGAACAGCAAAATCAAGCTCAAGATATAGAGAAACGAAGCAGGTCGAAGCTTTGAAACCTTGAAAATTGAAGGGGGATACGGAAGTCAGAAGATGCTTACCTCAGGGCACCCCTACAGAATAAACGAAAACAAAGAGTGAGAAATGAATGAAGTGTTTGTTTAGGAGTTTAATTCAGATTTATAGAAACGGCTGTGCAACGCAATGAGATGCCTTCATATCCATGTGAGGATACAATGGTAATTTAACTGACTCTTATTGAAATATCTTTTGGATAACGCTGGGCTTGGGATTATAGTTGTAAATGAAATAAGACAGATCGTGAGTTATTCGAGATTGATTTGGTTAAAGTTTGATAAATATTTAGATCGAATAAACTCAACTCGAGCTCGACTCAAATTTTTAACGAGCCGAAACGAGCTGCTTGAAACTCGATTCGAAAAGTTCGTGAGCAGCTCGAAAATATAATATATTAATATTTTATTTTTTAAAAAAAATTATTAATAATATTAACATTTATGTGATGATTTTTTTTAAAATACAGTAAGATTTTTATGTATTTAAGATTCAGGTTCGAGTTTGATGCTTCAATCTAATTAAGTTTAAGATTTATTTTTCATTTCAAGCCTTTTCGAACTGCTCACGAACTTCAGTTCATGATTTCGAGTTCGAGTCGAGCTTAAAAATTTTAAGCTTGTGAGTTTTAGAGTCAAATCGAACCTCATTTCAAAGTTTTCAAATCGAGTCGAACTTTATTTCAAAGTTTTCGAGTCGAGTCATGCTCAACAATACCCAAACTCGACTCGACTCGTTTACACCTTTACTTGGGGCCTTCTCAACTACTGCCTCCTGCTTTTTTTTTTATTCTCACTTATTAAGTTAAACGATTTTTTTTAAAAAATAATGAGTAAATTATATAAATGAATATTTGATTATAATATAATTTTGATTTGATTATTAATTAATTGATTTGATTAATTATTTTCTTTAAATATTAAAATGATATCAATTAACCTATCTTTGGTTAATATTTAATTAAAAAAGAGTGGTATCAATCAAATAAAATTAATATAATTATATATTAAATCGTTATTACTGATATAATTTATAATTTAATCTTAATTTTCATTTATTTTAATAAATCTAATCTTTCAACTAGATAATTATTTATATGTGATCTATATATTGAGATAGACATGGGTTTTTTCACTCGATTTGATCTAAAAATACACACTCTTCACTCAAATTTTGATTTGACTCAAAACTCAATCCGTCTTTTGAAATAAAATCCGATCTTAACACACGATCCGACTCGAAATAAATATATTTATAAAAAAATATTAATTGTATTCAATAAAATATGTATATATTTGAAAAATGATAATATAAAGAGGTATTATTCTAATTATCCTTAAATACATAAAGTTTAATTATATTATTTTTTGGGTCGGGTGGATTAAATATTTTTTCACCCTAAAACCAAATTTAACCCGATCAAACTTATCATCTAAAAAACTCAATTCGACCCGACCTAAGTAAAACTTTTTTTTTTAAATATGATCTAATAAGATCATATTCGGATCGAAACTTGTTGAATTTGAGTCTCGTACCCATTCCTATCTACACATATCATCATTAAAAACTTTATTAATCAAATATAAAATCAATAATCCTAAGTAAAGTTATTATTGATCTAATTCCAAACCACAACTATATAAACAGTTATACCCTTTGTATCATGTAATCTTCTCTCATAGAATAACAGTTCAATTCATTTCTGTCCAATATTGTGCTAGAGTGCTTCTCGACATAATTAGTCAGTGATCTATGAGTTTTTGTATATAATATCAGAGCATCGATCACCAATCAATAACAACTTTCGACGACCAAATAAAAATTAATTCATAGCAGAAAGATAGTGTGTGACAATAAGGTGTAAGATTTATTATTAGTCTTAGATGATAATTTTTCATTATTTCATTTGATTTCTTCTTCACCTATAAGTATCTTAATCATTTAAAATATTAGATAAACTACGTATCTAGTACGCAAACTATCAGTTTTGGTCCGTTTAGTACCTAAATTTTTTAATTTTTATAAAATCATACTTAACGTTTAGTTTTCATTTCATTTTAGTACCCATCGTTAAAAACTTAAAGTGTTTAATACTTAAAGTATCAATTTTTGTATATTTTAGTATATAAACTTTCAATTTTTTAAAAAATTTAACGTTAAATTTTGATTAGGTACTAAAACAAAACAAAAATTTAAAATTTTTAACTGCACGTACTAAAATGAAACAAAAAATAAATTTTAGGTATGATTTTGAAAAAAATTATATACTAAAACTTACTAAATGTATAATTTAGCATAAAATATTTTACAAACAAACAATAACAACTAGACTTACGAAGCAAACTATTTGATGGGGAAACTGTCGTAACCGTAGGACTCGAAATCGGGCTTCGACTTAAATTGAAATAATTCAAAATTCAAGGACCAATTTACAATAGGTTACCAAAAAAATACACATCAAAGTATCAGAGAGCACAGAAATACCTTCAAAATGCATGATCTGATACATGATCTTACACTAGATGTATCACAAAAAGTGTGCAAAACAGTGAATTCCCAAACAGATCTTGTTGATAGAAATGTTCGACATTTATCATTTACCGATGAAAAGCTGCTAAAAATTCCACACTTGAAGAAATTGAAAAATGTTCGAACAGTTATCATTTGGGAGGTTCTAGAGGAGTCTTATAAATCTCTGTGTCTCAAAATTCAACTATCTTTGAGTACTACGGTTTCGTGATTCACATTTAACAGCTTTATCAGATTCCATTGGCACCTTGAAGCACTTACGAGACATCGACTTGACTAATAGCCCGTAATATTCGAAAACTTCCGAGTTCTTTTGATCAGCTTCGGAGATTGCAAGCATTGAGAATGAGAGGTATTCCTTTAATGCAATTGCCTGGAAACATGGAAAGCTTGATTGAGCTTCGATACCTAGAAATAACCATTACAGATTCACATTTGAAAGAAATTCGACCAGGATGTTGGACTTCACTTCAACACCTGGGATTTTATGATTGTGACAATTTGGAGTGTTTATTTGAAGGAATGCAGCATCTCACATCACTTCGAAGACTTGTTCTGGATGGTTGTACTAATCTTGTCTCCTTGCCACGGAGCCTGAAATTTCTAGCCAAATTAGAAATCCTTTGTGTATCCTGGTGCAAAAATATAGATTTAGAAATGGAACCAGAAGAGGAGGAAGATAAAAACCTTCAGCTGAGCCTTAAAACTTTCGTGGTCTCGGATTCAGACGGGTTCACGGATTTGCCACGACTGCTTCTCGAAAGATCTTCAACTTTGCAGCAAATAAAAATCAGTAATTGCTCAAATTTTGTAGTGCCACCACCGTGGCTACAACATCTCATTGACCAAAATTCTCAGCTGTATACGAGGGTGTCGTAAACGGTTTTAGTCCGGGTACGAATTTTTTATTTGGCGGGAAAAATGATGTGAATAAATGGTTTTAAAATGTTTTGGGAGTCGCCATCGGCGTTTTGGGTCAGGTAGGTCGAATACCTAAAAAATTATCTTTTAAAAGAGTTTTTAAGAAAACATCAGTTAAAAGATAAACTGGTCTGCTTTTTAACCAAAAATTTGTTCTTTTTAATAATAAAAAAAGGGATTCGTGGTCGATTACGTTTGGGGAAGGATTAGCACCCACAACGCCCAAAATTGGTACTTATTAATTATAAATTGTCTATTATTAGAAATTTAAAAATTCAAAAATATATTTAATTCATAATCATGTTATTTCAAACTTATTAATATAATATATTAATATCTATATTTTTAAATAAGATATTTATTTAGAAATATCAGAAAAGGGCTTCTAGGTGCTTTAAGACAGCTCTTTTCTTTGATATTAAAAAATAAATAAATTTTAAAATATTTATCTAAAAATAATTAAAAATAGATTAATATATATGATTTAAAAAAGTAAAATATTTATTTATTTAAAAATATCAGAAAATGGACATCCAGTTGCTTTAAGACTGTCATTTCTTAATATATAAAAAATAAATAAATATTTATTATTTAAACAAATATATATATATATATATATATATATATATGACTAATATGATAAAATAATAATTAAAGTAATAATTTAAATATATTGAAATTAAAAGGGTAATAATTAAATAAAATAAATTGCAATCTAATAATGAATAAAATAAATAAAATTAAAACTATAATATAAACACATTTAACGTTATTAATAATACCATATATAGATATAAGAAAAGCAATCATTGTAAATGAATAGAATAAATACTAAAAGAGATTTATATTTTAATAAATAATTATATAATAAAGTCAAATAGTATTAATTTCTATTATGATTTAAAATGGATAAAATGGAAAGTAAATTTAAGATACCAATTATAAATAAATGAAAAGAAAATTAAAGTAAAAAATAAAGTCAAAGACATAAACATTAAGATTACAAGTAATTAAGGAGAATGAAACATTAAAGGCAAATTAATCATGAATATCTAATTGACAATGAATTTGAGAAAGTTTTTAAACAACAAATGATTGAAATTAAAGCAATTAAATTATATTCATATATAAAATTCATAGTAAAAAATGAGAATTATAAAAATTAGTGATTAAATTATAAAATATCAAAGTTTAATAGATATAATTCGAATATTATGAAATCTAAATATTAAAATTGTAATTTAACCATAATAAATTAATTCAGGATTAAAATATAATTTACTAAAATTATAAAGGACTAAAATGAGTATTTATCATAAATATTATAAAAGTATGGTAGTGACTAAATTATAAAGTACATAAAATTAAAAGACCGAATTTAAATGATCATAAAATGATTTCAGTGACTAAATCATAAAAATTACAAATTTAGAGCACTAGGAACATGATTTCACCATGCGAGAAATTACATCCAGATCCCTCACCAAAACTACGTCGTTTTGGTGAGGGTATTTAAACCCTTTAAACCGACCCCCTTGGGTCATTTTATTCATTTTCTTCTTTTTCATTCTCTCTCAAAGTGAGAGAGATTCTGCCCTCTCTCTAAACTCATCTCGCCGGAGGGAGTTCTAGCAGCCGCAGGCCACCGTGCTCCAG